GAATATAGTTGCCTGACATAAAAAGCGTTTTTGATGATGGCATGTAATGATTGTGTTGATATGTGTGCACTACATATGAAAACCTTTCCAGCCCTGGCTCATATCAGCGTGTGATTAAATATGCGAATGTTGAGTAGGAGTAATGGCATCTGCAACCGCAAAGCGACTGTTAATACCTCTTTTAAGTGGTCAGCAGAGCACATCAAATATGCAACATGCGTATATGAAAAACTGTTATGAAAATGTGAACGCTTAAAATATGTTAACAACGATTTTGTAAATATTTTATGCAATTTTTTAAATTGCTGACAATATATTTTAGTTACAAAAGTATCTAGCAGAGCTGTAATTAAAAAGTGAAAAGAGATTACTGTAGTAAAAATGGACACAAAATGACAATGAAATCCATAAATGCATAAATTAAAATGGATATAACAACGAAAAATTTAATTTTACATATACAAAAAAATTGGAATATACGTTAATTACGTTAATATACGTTAAATTTGATAATGGCCTTATTAGCTTTAAATCTCAAATAATAACAATTTATTTTTAATGTGTACTGTTAAAAAATTTTTAAGTATATATAATAAAATAAGAAAAGAAACAAAAATTAAAGTCGTCTTAAATACTGCAATATCGTTCACAGCGTTACTAACGTGTTATAAATACAAATAAAATACATTTCTTATTGGATCTGATTTTACGATTTTAATTCCATCAGAAACAAACAAAAATTGTAACAAGACCAAAAAGAGTGAAAAAACAGCAAATACAAGCAAAAGTGCTATCTAACTGCATGAACAAAACTAGATGAACATATTATGTTGAAGCTATTTGAGCCAGTGCACTTAAGCACTTTTACTCTTTCTTAACTCGAGATATTTTGAAAACCCCTTTTCACACCTTGACTGGATTATTGTTTATCAATTCATCAGACTAAGCAATAATTGATTTCATTGATCATAATTGATCCCCGAGGACCACATTAAAATTTCTAAAGAAAACCACTTTACAAATATTCTTGACTTCCTTATCTATAAAATACTCAACTCTAACAACAGAAGTAAATAAGATAAAATGAGTCCTAAAGACATTAATGACTACTCCTATTAAACTTACAAACAGCATTTTTAAACAACTTCCCTTGTTTTATGTACCAGTATGACATCAAGAAATGCTGAATCAGTATTCTGCTGGTTTTATTATTCTAATTTACAAAAGCGATTAAGCATTCTTCATTAGCTAACTATTCATACAAATGAATTATAATAAAAAATCAACCTCTTTAGCAAACGAAATACTATTTATTTGGACTGGACGTAATACATGGTCATTATATTCTATCATATTAAACTTAAACTACATAAATATCCATAATTTTCTTATTTATATATTTTCCATCTATAAAAAAAAGTGATTCAATGTAACACTGACCTGCTACGTATGTTCAAGCTAATTTTCTGTGTAATTTTTTTACGATTTAATAAGTACATTTTTATTGACAGTAGCACTCACTTTTGTAATAGATTTTTATTTAAATATATATTTATATTTAAGTTTCTTTGTTAAAAGTGTACTTTACGCTTGCCACTTTCCATCAGTATATTACCATATTATAGAGTATTAATAATACTTACACACTATGTATAAAACTTAATTCACATTCATATATTTATATTTTAAACATAAAAAAAGTACTAGAAAGTATCATAATGTTGCAACTAATAATGCACTCAATTTGTTTTTCAAGTATTTTGGTTTTGATATGTAGAAATAAGATTATACATTTCTCATATTTCTAAAACTAAACAACAAAGAAAGCTGGGAGAGCATCAATCAAACCTACCAGCTAACGAACAGCACAATCGCATGGTTCACTGACAGCTCGCTTACGGAGGAAGGTGCCGGAGCCGGCATAGTCGGACCAGGCAAGAAGCATTGGGACAAGCGCTGTGAAAAAATACTAGCATCTTCCCAGCAGAAATTTACGCAATCTTAAAATACGTACTTATCAATATTAAACGGAGTTATCAGTGTAAAAATATCGCAATACTAGCAGATAGCCAAGCGGTGATTAAAGCACTAAACTCGCATCAGAAGACCTCAAGTCTGGTGCAAGATTGCCTTGATAAGCTAAATCTGCTTAGCGAATCAAATCAAGTGTCAATTCTGCGAGTACCGGGACATACTGGCATACACGGAAACAAATACGCAGACAAACTAGCCAAGCTAGGCGCAGCCACACTGATGGTGGGGCCCGAACCTTTCTGTAAATTGAGACATGCGTAATATGTTCTCTCATAAAAATAAAGGAGAATCAGAATAAAAAGGTTTACTGGGATTATATACCAGGATTAACATAATACAAATCACTTATTGGTACCTATTACAATAAGAGATGACAGAATTGTATGGACCTTTCAAAAGAAAAACTTAGAATCATCATAGAAATTCTAAACTAAAATACCACCTTACGAGACTGGACATACATACGGATGCAAACTGTACATTCTGCCAGGAAAATGAGGAGTCGGGCATACATGTGCTTTTAGAATGCCCTGCGATAATGCACCTACGGAATAGACTCCTGGGAATGACAATAAAACGGAAAAGGCAATAAAACTTCTTCAAACTAAAAAGTAGGTTCTATACTGAAGCATAGCTTGTTATTGTTGAGATCAACACAGAAGTAACAAAAGTATTTAAATTAGTTTTCAAATATGATGGTCGATTCTAATTATGGTAAGACCTATGCAGAATTATCAATCCAAAAATTATACGTTAAATTTTTCAATCTACTCGTGTGTTTAGGGTATTTTTTTTTTACTTTGAAACCTATTCAATTGTTACAACCTGTTTAGTTACCTTTTTAGTTATATACTATTTTGGATAATCTGCTTTAGAGACGTACATTTACATACATATATACATATAAATATCTATTTAATTTATATATATAAATAATATTTTAACTTGAGCACAAACAGAGCTATAAAAATAAGTTCCGAGAGATCTTCTTGATGTCAGTCCCTGAAAACAATTTTTCATAGTCTTGTTTATGCTTAAGTCAAATTTAATGACACATCAATGTTTAATTGACTTAAAACTCAATATTTTCATTTATTATAAAAATATTTCACATTCTCTATGGATTTCTAATTTATATAAACTCCTTTTTATAAATTTCGGTTGCAATTCACGATAAGTTAACATTAGTAACTAAATGGAATTTAAATTCAAAATTATTTTTCAATTTTTTAATCAAAACTCATATCTGGCAACATGTGATGTATTGTCCAAAACATATAAATTATGTTCCTCTTCACAATAGAATCCTTATTTCTGTATTTTGGTTTGAAAGTAAGTTAATCAATTTTCGTACTGACTTCCTCACGTTGACCCTTCTTAAATGTTAAGATACCATATAAGTAACTTTTAATGAACGAACATATGCAAGTGGATTTGTGACTTTAGTTTTGGAGAGTCTAAGGCTTAAGCAACTCCACTGTCCGTATAATGAGAACAATACCACAAACTCATTCTTTCCTGCTGATGTATGGCTTAGCTTGCTCCTATGCATTGTGGAATTTGACATGCTTAATTTGTTGCCTGTTCGAAAATTTGTGGTGTATTTAAGGAAGCTTTGCAATTTTGGGCACAGAAAGTAGCATGTTAACATCCAATAAGTTGTCCCTTTCAGTTAGGAAAGTAATTTTATGTTTGAAGAAAAAAAACAAAAAAAAAAATGTTTTGCTCTGAAGGATTACTTCTATATTTAGAAGATAGGATTATAAAATATTTAAAATGCATTTAATTAAATTTCGATGTGGCTTCCAGGGAATATTGAGTAAATTATTACAATAGAAATCGAAATAAATAATTGCAAGTAATACGTATATATGTGAGCTTACAGGTAACACGTGTATCTATAATTTATTTTAGATAAGTTGATATATATTAGATAGATATTAAAACTTTCAATTGACGTTTACCCAATAAAATTGAAAAACAGATTTGGAATTAAGACATATTTTGTGTTCAAGCAAAAAGTGATTATTGTGAGATAGAAAGTATACTTATATTATTTCATAATAACAATATTCCATTAATAAAGTATACAAGATAGTGTTTTATCTTATTATTCAAAGGAATTATTTTAACTTCTATTAGAACAATGAAAGCCACTTTAATGTACAAGAACATGAAAATGGTAACATCAAGTCTTCAATAGAAAGCAATGTTCATTATAAAGTTAGTGCAAGTGTATTCCAAAAACGTACACTGATAAAAATTAATCAATCTTGAATTAAGAAAAAAAAATCTGAATAATTTAGCTTCAATGCAGTGCCTTCTTATTTTAATTTTGAAAAATATGTGAAATAAAATCCAAAACTATTGATCGTTTCCATTGGCATAAACTGATTTATGTTTGTTTACATTTTACATATAAAACATATGACAAGACAGGTATTGTTTTGGTAATTTCCCATGTGGGAAATTTATTTTATAGGCTGCATTCGACATTTTTTGCCTTAAATCAGTTGATTTATTTATAATGAGTTAATTTATATGAAAGCTCTTTGTATGGTAATACCATGTTTCCACTGCTTTTTTAATAAGCTACTTATGTAACTTTAGGTAACTCTAGTAAGTTACCTGGTCTAACGAAGGCAATGGAAGGTCACTATCTGCATAAGCGGCCTAAAGGAGACAACTGGATAAAAGGTAGCACTAGTCACTAAATATGGTTCATTGGGCTTAATTTAAGTTTTTAATTTATTTGATGAGTTTTTAAAAATTTGTATATGTATTACTATACTTGATTTAAAAATATTTTTTGAATATATATAAAATATAATTCAAAAAGTTATAGAACAACTTATATTAATATATTCTGCAAGTAATAAATGTATAATAAATATTTATAAAAACTTTATATAAACTCTGTATGAACTCAAAATATAACAAAAACACAACACATATGTCAAACATACCCGTCTCCATACATGCCAGATGAACCGGTCATTGCTAGCGCCTTATAACGCGCTTGCTCATCTGTTGGCAAAACAATATCCACAGAACGTGAACGAGTTGCATTTATATTAGGCACCGTTAAAAAACAACCATCCTCACTTGGTTGTAATTCCTCCGTTTTACCTCCAGACGAAAGTTTGGAAAAGCATGAATCGACTGATGCAGCACGATCACGCTTCAAATCAGGTACAGTTAAATAAATATCACGTACAACAAGTGCGTGTTTCGCTGCTGTTGGCGAACCACAAGTAGCCACTGTTGATGCTTCATCAATTGAATCAACCGTATCGACTGAAGATTTTTGTTCCTCTTCCTGTGAAACATTTTCCAATGAATTGCCAGTAGGCTCAACAAAAATAGCCTCTTGACGGGAAATTGAACGACGACGCGGTCGCATAGCAGATGGTGATGGTGGCATAGCATTATTGCCATCATCTGCAGTATCAACAGTAGAACAGGTACTAAACGCGGGTGGTGGTGGTAATGGCAAATCGAGTGTTGATTGTGGCAGCAGTTCTAATGGTGAAATTGGTGGTGGTGGTGGCAATTCTAACACTGGACTACCGCATACCGATAATGAAAATGAAGGCGAGACAGGTGGTGAACCTGGTTCGATGGGAAATGAATACGGAAAAGGCGGGTAATCACCATTCGTTGGCGATAGAGTAAATGTAATGCCGCAAGGTGTTGTTGGCAATGGCGGCAAAAGTGTATTACCAAAATGTGGTGAATCATGTTCAGATTCCTCAAGGCCTTCATCCTCAGATGTTGTTACCGAACTGCCAATTGTATGACGTCGCATTTGTCTTGGCATACGTGTACGTGCTTCATCTATACTGCTGCCTAAAGCGCCCAGACGTATGTCCATTTCTAGTGCAACATCATCGTAATCATCAGCAATGCCAACTGCTTCAGTATCATCATCATCGTCAGCATCATTATCATCTTCATTATCATCATCATCTTCGTCATCGCTATTTTCTGAGCTAGTATAACTATAACTGAGCGTATTCAGTTCACGATGGTCAATAAAATAACGCTGTTCAGCAGTCACACGCTTTTGATACTCTTCCAAATATAGACAGTGTATGCAAGGCGGTGGAGTTTTAGTAGAAGAACTGCGACGGGTTTTGACACGTCGTGGTACTTCCAGAAATGTGCCGGAATCGTCACTACCCGCAGAAGCTGCTGCAGAATCAAATGAATGCGAACGTTGTGTATGCGGTTGCGGCACTTGTAACAAACAGCCATCTGAAGAACGATCTTCTGCTGATGAAGATGATTGTTGCTTCAGCAGATGCGAGGAGGAGCGTTGTGCTTCAAGTTTCATTTCATCAAATGAAGCGGAGCGCACCTAAAATATATAGAAATTCACAAAAAAAAGACAAGAAGAAAGATTTATTACAAAAATTCTGCAACTTTGAGTATTTTTGCTTTAATTAAAAATGCGGACAAAATGTTGCATGCAATTGAAGTTATAATTAAAAGCTTGCAGTAACATGGAGTGCAAAAATTAGAACGGAAATGCAAAGCAGCAAAATTAGTAACACAAAACATGAAATGAAACGTAATTAAAAAATGAAAAATTGTGGCAACACTCACATCTCTAGAGAAAAATTACGAAAACATAAATCATTTCAAAATCAAAATAAACAATTTGATGTGTGTATTATTAAAGCAGATTTTCGACGTTTCCCATATAATTGAGCAAGCAATGCACAATGCACACGAATTCAAAGTCAATAACTCGTTGCATGTCAAGTTGCATGAAACAGAAAATGCACAACTCCCTGAATAATTATTCCCCGTGACGGAAATGCTGGAAAAAAACGCGTTGAACATGTTACAGTGCAGTAATGCAAATTTATTTAAATTACGGTTTTCCCAACGATTCCCAGCGGAGCAGTGAAATGAAATACTTTTTTACGCAGACTTTCACTTTTCGACAGTGCGGTTCGCAAATTTATATTCGTTACACTTACTGTTAAGTACTGCTATAACTCTGGGTATATCTGAGGGGGATTAGTAATTCATTTGTTGTTATGGTAACAAGAAAAATTATACTTATACAACTGTCAAATGGATTTAAAATGAGTTGTTGCATTTTTAATTGCGTCGGTTTTTTTACATGTAACCCACACATATAATTTTATTGCACTATGTTGTGGTGGACTGGATTTATGGGTCCTCTTGCATGTTAATATGGTCATTGGTAAATATATATGACATATACTCTGATGTGTTATTTTAATTATAATTCTCTTCCCGTGGGTGGCTTACACGCAAAGAAATGTGTTCACCATCGTCATGCATTTTTCATATTTTTATATAAATTTTTTCAAGTGGACTTTAAAGGATTAATTTTATTTGTTTAATTTCCTTAATTAAAATATGTTGTGCGAAATTAGAATAATATTTTTTCTCTCAAGTCGGAATGTATTTTACATACCTATATTGATATTTATATCATATATTTATATGATTTATAATATTGCATGTACACAATAAATATTTTAATAAATCTGCAATAATAAAATATTAAAATGGCCGCAATAATAGCAGATTAAAGGTGTGAAAAATAACCCAAATACTGTTAGTATGAGCGACATTATCGGACAGAAGATAGCAGCAGAACTTAAGACTTACAAAGATCTATAATCGGTGTTATCTGAAAGAAGATAGCGGCAAAAGTTAAGACTCACAAAAACCTATAATCAGTGTTATCTGAAAGAAGGTAGTAACAATAGTTAAGACGTACAAAGATCCATAATCTGTCTTATCTGAAAGGAGGTAGTGGTAGAATTTAAGACTCACAAAGGCCTATAAATGGTGTTATCTGAAAGAAGGGTACTAGAAGTGGTAGAAGTTGAGACATATTTAAACCTATAACGTTATAAAAAAATATAATTTTTATCCTTGTGCTATCTATAAACTATAATCGAAATGTTGATAAAAATAATATATAATTTTTAAAAATAATTTAAAAAGTTGTATATTATTTGAACAATTGGCTAATTAGCTCGTTTTGAAAACATAAAGAACATTAAAACAATAAATTAAAAGAAAAGTTATTTAAAAAATTTCTCTTTTCGACAGAAAGAGAAAAAACTTTCAGAAAGACTGATTAAGACAAAATGTTTGTCAATTTATTCGTAGCAACTTTACTGAAGATATAAAATTTGTATCTTTTAAAATAAAAAATTTATCAACACTTTAAAACCTCAATTTTTAAACTTTAAGCTATAAGGGAAACTTTAAGAGAATAACGGGTTGAAGATTTGGGCTCAGTGGTTCACCTAATGCTAGTTTTTTTTTTACTAATTTTCAATTATAAAAATAGGGAAATAATTTTTATCATTTAGTTATTATTTATTTATTTATTATTATAAAGAGGTTTTTCGAACAGTAGTGAACTACAATAACCAAAATTCTTTTTATATTATTTTCATTAATTGAATTTTTGGCTCACTATATAGCTCAGCCAAGTATTGCTAAATACCCATTATTAGTGGTCTTGAAATTATTTCTTATGCTTAATTATTCGTAAATAATTTTTTGTGCTTGCAAGTACCAAGGACTAAAGTCGTGCCCTGTCAAATTTGAATTTCAGAGTCAGTGTTTATTAGTCAACTGACCCAAAGCCGTACTTGACTTTTTTGTTCGGATATTTTTCTGGAGTTTCGTTAATCTGTTGTAAAAGTTTTATTATCAAAATCACTTGTTGTGTTTATATAAGAACGAAATCATAAACCAGTTCTAGAATAATTGAAATATTTAATAATATTTTTATTTTTAATTGCTAAATTTTTATAATATTCTGTTTGTAGAGGCAAACATCAAAATCATGTTTGTTGCATGATTTAAATATTCTTTCTTATATATAGAACCTAATCTAGGAACGTAATACTAAGAAAGTCATGCTAATGTTACTCCACGGGGGAGACCAATATTTTGTGAATATTTATTTATTATTTATAATTAGAACTGTATTAAAAATTAAATATTGGAATTTAAAAATTTTTTCAATATTCTTCCTATTTTTATTCGATGATACATTTTCTGTCATGGGACTTTGACGAAATTACAGAATTTTTAGTTATAAAAAAAAAGTAATTAAGATATAATTTATTAAAATATATATTATTAAATTTGGAATAAGGTATGGACTAAAATATTGGACTCAAAATATTGTTAAGAAAATTTAAGGAAAGCAAAAATATTATTTTGGACTCAAAATATTAAGAAAATTTAAGGAAAGCATATGCAAAGAGGTAGGTTGAAAAAAAAAATAAGTTTTTTAAATTATACGAGTATAAAAAAATTTGTTAAAATGTTGTAATTATATACTATTATTATCATTCCTTTTTTTTTAATATGTTTGATGTGAAATCTCAATATAAAATGTCGAGTATTTATTTACAATTATAAGTAATTGCAATACTTGACGTATGAGTAACAAATTGCAAATGCTTAACTTCTTTTAACAAAATAAAATGCAGTCATATTTTTAATGAAATTGCAACGTGAAAACGGAACCATTCAGCAATTTTAAACCAAATTAATTAACATCGTTTTAATAACAAGGAGTAAATTGAATTTCATTTTTATGAGTTTATAAAGTACATAAAAACACCATTAAAGGGACTCCACGAAAATAAAAAATTTCATGCATTTTAAAAAAGGGAAATTTGCCGGAAACAATGTTTGGCAAACATAAAAACGACAACGACAACGGCAAAAACAAAAACAAAAACAAAGCATAAAAACTAAGAGCATAGAACACAAAGGCACTATGATGAGAATAAAAACAATTTAAAAAAAAATAAAAAAAATGTCAATAAAATATAATTAAACATTGACAAAAGCAACAATGCTCAAATGAAAAGCGACATTTTTTTTTATTTCAGCATAAAACACAATCGCACCTGTTTTGGTACCTCCAGGCTGTTTTGGGTTTTCATCTCGGCGCCAGTTGGTGTGCGGGACCGTGTAAAAGTTGTGCGTAAACGCTGCATATTTGTTGTAAAGGCCTCCAACTAACACATATAAAATATATATATAAGTAAATTTAATTTTTGTTGTGTTGTGCTGTATGTATATTTGTTTATAAAACTTTCTGATTGATTGTTGTTGATTGTTTTCAGTTGTTGTTGTTGTTTTTATTTTTATTTTTATTTTGTCTTATTTTAGGCGCTGTTTTTGCTGCTTTGTTGTTTTGTTGTTGTTATTATTACTATATTATACAGAAGTTTAAATTTGTTGTTTTAAACAGCTATTCGTTGTTGTTCTTTTTGTAATTGTTGTTGGATTTTTTGTTGTTGGTTTAATTATGCTTTTCGCAAAACAGTTTTTTTTTAACGTCAAATCGTCTTTATGGTTTTGCTGCGGTGTGTACGAGTTTGTGTGTTGATAAAAGGATTTTATATTTTCTCTTAAATTATTTTTTGCAAATTTCTTTTTGCGTTTTTGCTCCAGCTCCACAGTTGGCAAGAGAATTGTGGCAGCAGCAAAGGGTACAGCAGTTGCAATGACTGAAGTATATCCCATTGTTCAAGTGCAAATGATGACGTTGACTTTTGTATTTGTATTTCCTTTCTCCTTGATTGCGCTTGTTTATTTATTGTTACTCTGCTGCTTTTGCTATTGGTGCTGCTGCTAGTATTGCTACGATGTACGTTGGCTTAAGTTCTGTTGCTTATGCTACTTGCGTTGCAACTTCACGTTAATATTTTCACGCTGTTTTTTTTTTTTGTTTTTTCTTTTTGTTTCCAATCGTGTATTCTCTGTCAAATGCTAGTAATGCTGCAATGGAGTAAAATAAAGAGCGACAAATAAGCTTTAAAGGTTACAAAGTGCTTTTAGCAGGATATGAATTTTAATACCAAAAACGTGTTTATAAAATTCTTCAGAAAAAAAAATTAGAAATTGTGAAAAGTATTGTAAAAGTAAAATCTTCCACTTATTTTTCATTTTAATTTAGTTTTTCTGTTTTCTTTGCCAAATTCACTAAAAAATATTAATTCAAAAAATGTTCAATTCCATTTAATCTTGGCTCATTTGATGTAGGGACCAGATTGAATAAAATAGAATAGAATTAAAAAAAGTTAATTAAAAAAGATTTGTCTTAATCCTTAAATGAACTAATTTTGCTAAGAAATATTAATCATAATAGGATATAAGATTTAACTACATATACTAGTATTTATAAATTAATATGAAGTCTTTGTTAAAATACTTATTAAATCAATAATTAATTAATATTTTCGATTTATATTTTAATAAGATTTAGTTTAATCGGGCTTAAGGCTTAATACTCATATTATTAATAAATAATACTTATTATTATTTTTAGAGGATGTGGCACTGCGATCTTCAAGTCTATTGTGCCCCCTTCTGGGTTTAGAGTAGGTCTCTAAGCTTTATTGCGTCAATAAAAACTAGTATAGAACCTTACTTTACAGAGTAAAGAAGCAATAATCTTCCGTAAGAGTATATATTCCACAGGAGTCTCTATTCTGTTTGAGCATTAGCGCAGAGTATTCTAATAGCACATGTGTGGCCAACTCCTCATTCTTTTCATAGAATCTACAGTTTGCATCCGTAAGTACACCCAGTCTTGTAAGGTGGTATTTTAGTTTACAGTGCCCTATTAGAATTCCTGTGATGATTCTAAATTTTTTCTTTTTAAAGGTTCATACAATGCTGGTATCTCTTATTGTTATAGGTATCAATAAGTGATTTGGATTGTGTTAATAAGACTTGTTTTTGTTAAAATTTTTTATATAAAATTTGATTTTAACTTCAATGTGACAGTAATCACAACTTTATGTATTAATAGAAGCTGTGGTATTTAATAGAGAAGTTTCGAAAAATAGTGAACTACAACAATTTTAATTTTTTTATTTTTTCTTTTTATATTAAAACTCTTTTTATGTTATTTTAATCAATTCAATTTTTGGCCAACCATACATGTGTTTCGAATATCACTGAAATATATATACCCAGATATGTACTTGACAATACTCAAAACAGCGTTATATTGTCATCCAAATTTCAATAAACCAATCAAATTGTTGTTGTTATTTCTTTATTACTATTTGAACCGTTCTAGTTTCTTTTCATCATAAGACACGTCACATTCGACAAAAAAAAACGTTGATATATTTCTTTTAAAATTGGCTAATAGGTCTATATTAAATAATAAAAAACATTTTAAATAAGATTTTTAAAAAATATATATTATTTCTACCGATATATCCACTATAGTCTATAGTCGTCTTCAGAGTCTTTAATAATATCACTCATAATTTGATTTTAATTTCTATAAATTTTTATATTATTTTTTATTTAATACTTGTATAATATATTATTAAATTGATTTAGAAAATTTTACTTCATAATTAATTACTTTCTACCTAACATGCTATTACTATTTAAATGAGTAAATTTTCCCTTAAGAGAAATCTATAACATAATAAATATATTATTTATTATCATAAAACACTCGTAAATATTCTTCAATGCTATAAGTACAAGTAATACATAAATTTATTCACTTTATCTATTCGCATAAATATTTTCATGTCGATAGACGATATCCTATTTTATGCTTAGCTCCTTTAATGCATGTTTTTATAACAATTTACAAAATCATTTGTAATTTTATATCTTATTTTTATGCCAAATAAAAAAATGTTTTTCCTCATAATCTTTTTTCCTTGATTCGCAAGAAGAATTTCATATTTTCACTTTGGTAAACCGCACGAAAATGTTAAAGCAAATAAATCAGTGCTGCCAACCAATGCGGCAGAAGCAAAGTTACTTCTGTGTGATTTCCTTTGATACAAAATATGTAAATCCAAGCATTCAGTAGGCATAAGAACAAGCATTGAAGCGTAGGCCCAAAGTTAAATAGTCATAGTTATGTGAGTGCACTCAGACAGAATAATATATTGAGCTGAGATGGGGTTCGCTCAAATGAAAGTGTTATGAAGCTATAAATAGAATGCGAAATCTTCAGAAATCCCCTGGTTTTGTGTATTTTGGTAATATTTGGTTAAGTTGTTTTAAAGTTATTTATTTTGAGATCCACAAAGGATACAAGGATAAATGCAAATAATTATTTAAATTTTAATATGTGGTTCGGTTTAGTATATACGATTTATTCAAATTTGTTTATATAGGAACTTAAATATCAAAAGCAATTAATAATATGTATATATAATAACGTATTTAAATAAACCAAAAAAAAAATCTTTTTTAATGTAACTTAATAATTTCAAACGTTAATTTTTTTTATCGAACGTGATGCGTCTTATAACGAAAAGATACTAGAAGGATTCGAACCGTAAAGAAGAAAGAGCAACAAGAATTTTTTGAATGTAAAGCAAATATTAATTAATTTATCAGCAATTTGAAAATTAATAGACTAATGTCACTCTAGCTGCATATGTTGAAGTTTACTACATGGCTACTTAGAGAGTTTCTTTAAGGAATATCATTAATAATCTACATAACCGAAACTGTAGCCGTTAAACCCATATTACTAAATCTTCTACATACAATCTTTATACTACCACAATCGGATAATCTTAAATTGTATTATACTTGTATAAACCAGCAACTAAAATCAACTCAAATATTTGGTGTGTACTTAACGCACTACTATATCATGATATATTAAAGAAAATCAACCTATGTTAGGCCAGAGGTGGTATTTATATATATTTTCAAGTTACATAAAGTGCTAAAATGTAGCATTATTGTACTACCACTAAAACAATAAATCATTTTTTGATTGATATGAAACTATTACGTATATAACAATATATCTTAAATAAATATTTAAATTATATGTATGAATTATGAATTAATGATTTAATATTAAATTAATTTATTTTCAAATTTTTTTCTTCTTCCCATATATAATTGATATAAAAATAAATTAATATATATTATCTATACAACCCCATGTTTTCATTAAAAATAAATTAAATAAAAAATATTTACAAGAATTTAAAATAAAAATAAGAAAAATTACATTCGAATAAAATTGGGAGAAATGGGAGAAAGCTCAAATACAATGAATTTAGTGTGGAGACAGCATTAAAGTTCCACAAAATTTATTTTAATAATATGCAGGATATTAACTTCACGCAGTGCAAAAATAATGACACCACAATAATAACAAAAAATGACTATAAAAAAATAATAAAAGGAATCTCACGCTGATTGTGGAACCAAATATTAAGATTAAATGAGGCAGTTTGAAGTCAATTCTAAGGTAAAAATTATTAAAAAATTACGGCACTAAAATAAAGAAATGTTACGCACAATAATCTGTATCCTTTATTTTCATTCAGAAAAGAAATATTTTTTAGGAAAATAAGGAAAAGAAAGACATTTATTCAATTTGGTAATATTTTTAAAATAATATAATTTAAGTTAAAACTGGAATCTATATGAGAAAGAGGCTTTCTAAAAAATATATAAAAATATAATATATATATACTTAAGTATTTAAGTACATTATATTAGTATTGAAGTATATTTGTGTATAAATAAATAAAATGCAATTTAATTTTTTTCTATACAAAAAAGCAAACGTCTTTTTAATTTATTTAATTACAAACTTATTTTTAGAAAATTCATTTTTACTGTATAGCAGAACACAAAAGATAATTACGTTCACATATAGTATATTTTTAAATATTTATTTTATCTTTGGCAGTTGTTTATATTTTACAACATCTCTTCGTGTCAGTATAAACTTAATTTCCTTAGTTTTGAACTTTAGATCGAAGGAAAACTTTTCCATATTAGAGAAAAACTTCAAAGATAAAAGTGGTAAAAGAAAATAATGTGATTCAAAAGAAAAACAAAATAATATTAAAAGCAAAATTCCTATCCTTAGGTAAACACAAACTTTATTTATTGGTATTTTATTTTTATTTCTTAAGTCCTTATTAATTAGCAAGTATTAGGAAGGACAAAAGACAACTGCAGACATGCAACCGCAGTTGAAAGGATAACAGCTTTGAAATTATAAAAGTGATAAATATTTCTGAAATATTCACTGAGTGTAAAATTACCTTTTCTATAAAGTAATTTTGAAAATTTCAATTTTATTTGATCTATAAATAAT